CATTCCCTTAAGTGTATTTCAGCCATTTTAGGTTCTCAGATTAACCAAGACAATGGGGACGAGATAATCAAAGATAGGTGTGCAGAGTGCCTAAATCAATGTTAGCAATGTAAAAATTCTTGTCAATATTAAATCTCATTTATTTTTTCTGCTACTTATTGAAGACTTGCATGCATATGACATATCCAATTCCATAAGTGCCTCTTTTTTCTGTTAGCATGATCTAACACTGTGCCCATTTTCCTCCAGAACAATGAACAGAGGAGAGAATTATACACTGTCACTGAATGTCACCATAAACATTAACTCGTGCTATGTAATAAAACGGGTATATGAACTTAGCATAGTGACAAGCAACAATAAAAATGACTTCCTAGCACTGCCACATTCCTGTGGGTTTCTGTGGTCTCCCTGGTCGCTTTTGCCTGTGACATCTTTGTTTCTTAACGTGTGATTTATGATAGCTCTTTAACTTAGCTACCACTCGCTACCTCTCACTTGGCTACTTCATCAGCTCCCAGTTACCACCTGACTATTGCTCCAGTAGATATGTCCAACTGTTTTACACTGTAAACCTTGCCATCTACAAAATTCCTGCCTTAGAGATGCAATATCAAATTTAGATTAATCACATTCAAAACTTTGTATTGGGCTTCATTCATAGCTGTTCTGGGGTACTTATGAGCCTGTGGACTATGAGTTGGGTATACCTGCAGAGATTATGACTCAGTGAACTAACTTTCATTAAGGGAGACAGGAGAGTGACTTGGAGAATTAGTGGGCTTGCTGTGTCCACTACACACTTTGTGTTTGTCATTTTCTAAGCTGGGATTTGCGGTAGTGTGAGAGGAAGCGGCAATGCTTCAGCAGTTGAGGTTGATGCTGTTTGGAGTCCCTGAGGCAAAAATCTTGGGGACTTAGTGGAAGTCTGTTGTTGGGAAGAAACAGTTGTTCCAGAAGCTGATGTAGCAGTGTGTGCCTTGAGTTGTACACTCTCTGCTTCACTGGAAGAATTTGTACAAGTCCAGTAGGGATGGAATAAAGAGCTAGACTGTTAGATTTTACACTGAATATGCAGAGGACCCAGAATTCCATAATGGACTTTTAATGATGTATTTAAAAGACAACTTGGTACATTTGCCCATAGTAGATGGCAGATACCTAGGTGTTGTGGTTTGACTGAAAATGGTCCCATAGGCTCGTGTATTTGAATGCTTGGTTCTCAGCTGATGGGAAGAAGTAGGAGGTGTGGCCTTGTTGGAGGTGTGTCACTGGGAGGCGGGATTTGAGGGTTCAAAAGTCCACATCATTGCCTATTGCCAGTTATAGCTCCCTTTTCCTCCCACAATCATTTCCTTAACCCACAATCCCAACACACTCTCCATCCCTCCCTCATTGCCTGGCTGCCTGCCTACCTGCCATGCATACACTTGTGAATCAGCTACTGCTTCAGTACCATGCCTGCTTGTCCACTGCCATGCTCCCTACCATGGTTATGGACTCGCCCTTTGAAACTGTAATTCCCAAATAGACTATTTCTTCGTTAAGTTGCCTTGGTCATGCTGTCTTATCACAGTGATGGAAAAGTAAGTATGACATGAGGAGAAATGGATATGATTCTACAGCTCATGGAGAAATCCTGAATTCCCAAAGCATCGCTTGATGTTCAGCTCCAGGTCTTCCCCTGTGTTCAATGGGGAAAGCTCAAGGCCAAAGAAGAGCATTTTTTTCCACTCTAGGCCATGACATTTGTGCCTTCAGTTTGCATTGGTCTGTTCCTCAGCTCGCATGGCTTCTAAGATGAATTCTCCTTCTCTCAGTCCTGTGACAAAATATCGGGTAAAAAGCTAACTAGAGAAAGAAAGTTTATTCTCACTCAGTTTGACTGTGCAGTTCACAATGGTGGGAAAGGGAGAGCAATGCTTGAGGCAGCTTGTCACACTGCATCCACAGGAAGCAGAGAGAAATGAACACACGTACACAGTCCACTTCCTTTTTAGTAAGTTAGGACCCAAGCCCATGGAATGGTGTTGCCCACATTTAGAGTGGGTCTTCTAACTCAGTTCTTCTAACCTAGATAACCCCTCACAGATACTATATCTCTTTTTTTTCTTGACACAGCATTTCTCCGTGTAGCCCTGGCTGCTCTGGAACTCACTTTTTAGATCAGGTTGACCCCAAATTCAGAAATTTGTCTGCCTCTGAAGTGCTGGAAATAAAGGTGTGTGCTACCACTGTCTGGCTTCCTTGCAGTTATTCTTAGAGACTAACATAATCTAGATAATTCTTTCCAAGTATGTCCTGAAACTTCTCTCCTGTCTTTTTATGATCCTGTCAAATTAAACATATTAACCATTACAGAGGTAAAAGTTTTTGGAGTCTCACGTCTGCTTCAGGTTTGGGGTTTGTTTATTAGCTGTGGGGTAGTAGCAATGTTACTTGAACCTATTGAGCCTCCATTGTTCTCTTCTGTGAACTATGGAATACAATTTACCTCATAAGTCTATGTGGAATAAATAGAATAACCCATGTAGATTAGGATGTATCTAAATTATTTAGCTTGGTATAGTTGCTGGTCAATAACTGAGCCAAAATAAATCTGGTTTCCTTAACTTGGTCACAGCAATAAAAAAGTATAACTTATATACCCATCTTCCAGATTTAAAAAATTAACATTCAACGAGGTGAAATTGCTTGCCCAAGTAACGCAGCAAATAAGTTGTAGATCTGCAAGTCAAACTTAGGCTGTGAGACTCCAGAGCCATTGATAATCACAGTAAATCAGGCTCTTGGACCAGGACCTACCTGCATAAGTAGAATGAAATCCAATAAGATTGAAAATAACTCACAAGTACCAACCTCACTAGGTACACACCACATTTAATCAAAATATTCATCAATGTTATAAATACAAAGGTATTTATCATGATACCATCTAAAATAGTGAAAACTATAAATAAGGTGAATCCCCAAAAGTAGCTAAATAGAAAATAAACTATAAATATATCAAATATATAAATAAAACATAATAATGCTCATATATCTATTATTCTCATTTGGTAAACATGCATTCAGCAGCTAATGTATACCTAGCATTCTCCATCCTCTTCTGTGTTGGCAAAAAAAGCAGTGGATGAAACAATGCCCTTGCTTTCTCATGAAATTTAGGAAGAAATTTAAAAGAAATTTAAATTTAAATGGAAAATAAAATTTGTTGTATAAGATTTTAAGTAAAAATTATAAAATATCACTATTTGAGCCTACTCAAAAATATGTGTGTGCGCACACACACACACACACACACACACACACACACACACGCTTATTTGAGACAGGATCTATACAGCCCAGACTAGACTATGCAGCCAAGGGTAAATTTGAACTTCTGATGCTCTGCTTCTCCCTTCCAAGTGCTGAGATTATAGAAAGGTGTGTGCAACCCCATACAATTTTATGCAGTGCTGGGAATCAAATCCAGAGCTTCTTGCATAGCGGACAAGTAATCTACCAACTGAGCTATATCCCCAGCTTAAATTTTATATGATTAAGAAGCAGTTTCCATGTGAAGAACATGGATATATGAGCCAGTCATGGAGATATATGCCTTCAATCCCAGCACTTGAGAGTCTGAGACAGAACAATCAAGTGTTCAAAGCCAGGGACTAGACAGATGGTTCAGCAGTTAAAACCAGGTACTGTTCTTACAGATGACCTGACTGCGGTTCTGAGGACCCATGACCGATGCCTCCCAACCACCTCCAGCTGCAGGGGATCTGGCTCTCTGGCCTCTTCCAGCACTACACTCATCTGCCATATCTACATACAGATACATATGGAAATATGCAATTAAAAACAAAATAACTCTTTTAAGTTCACTGTCAGCCTGGGGCACACAGCAACCTTGTGTCAAGAAAAAAAAAAAGGAAAGAAAAATCTTTTAAAGAAGATAGTAAGTATACAAGAAAATATTCAGAAGTTGATATACCAGTATGCCTAATATGCTACTAACTATGGATGAATAGCATAAGTAATTGCATCCTTTATACATTTACAAATCATTCAAATTAGCTACAATGAGATTTTATCATAATGTTTTGCATTTTAATCCTTGGGACTATAAATGTAACTGTAAACATCACTTCTTTTTAGTAACAGTATTATCACTCATAACAGCTGTGTGTTCACTGCTCTCATCTGGAAAATATTCTTTTTTTTTGATACAGGGTCGCAATAGGCCTCACTATTGCATCTTTGGCTGGCCTGAAGCTCACCATATAGACTAAGCTTGCATTGAACTCAAAGAAATCCATGTGCTTCTGGACTAGATGCCATGGCCAACCCAGCAAATAGTATGCTGAACTCCAAGGTCAGCAAGCTCAATCTAGTCAGAAGGTAGTTTATCTCTTAAATTTTGAAGGGCATCGGTCACTATCACTGCTAACTGATGCTGTTCTGTCAAACAAAACACCCATAGACAACACTTAGATAAGTGTAGCTAGGTCCCAATAAAATTTACATGCAAAAAGAGGTAGGGAGGTGCATTTGGCACAAGAGCCTCAGTTTGCTCAGGTCCTTGTTTTAATTCATCAGAATAAAAATAAACACAAAGGTCCTTTTATCTTCACCATTCTATGTCCTCTGTAATGGTTTTCAGAGAGATACTAACTGTAATTTCAGAAGACAGCAGTGTGGATCAAAGGGAAACAGCTTGTCCAACATCTCACAGTGAATTTATTAGATGATTTAAAGAAAAGTCTCCCTTCAGGCTAGCCAGTGGCCTCAGTGGAGGTTCAGGAGACCTCTTCGCTGCTTCTACATGAGGGGGAAATGTTAGTAAAAAGGATGTTTTCTTAGCATTCTTAGGCAGCCTCCTAGGGCCTTGCACTAGACCGAATGGGATGAGGGGAAGCCCGTACTGCTCCGTATCCAGAAGAGAAGGGAATTACGTGGGGTCTAGGTGGCTTCCTGAGTTTCATGGCCACACGCTGCTGAAGACTTACCAATATTGATCTCATCATCTGTCAGAGTGTCCCCGATGAAATCAAACTGAAACGACTGCAACGTCTGGGAAAACTTCTGGACCGCAGAAGAGTAACCTGCAAAGGAAGAGGGTAGGGGAGACGGTCAGCGCTACTATCCTGCTCCCGGGTACAGCACAGGGGAAATACAGAGGGACCTCCGGCAAGCGGCAACTTGTATTCGAGCAAGTTAGGAAATTTTCATCAATACTTACTTCCAAAGCTTCCAGGTGTTTGTTCCCTACCCGGAAGTCTGATGGAAGAAAAGCTGTTTATATAGTTACGTATTCTTCTACAGGACTCTGCTGTGGAGTCCACTGAGCGGCACTATTATATCTCACCTTAGTAAACAAAAGTATCTTAATCGTGATGTTGAGAAATATTCATTAATTTTATTTCTTAAAGTTCCCCGCAAGGTTATAATAAAGGAGATCAAATGGCTGGGTCTCTTAACTTATGCTTGCCAATAAAAGATGCCTCAAGCTCTTGAGTCATCTTGTAATGGACAATAATGGAAAAAAAAAATCAGTCTTGCTAATACCTATGACAAAGACCAACAAGGGTTTTTATGTGGTTTTCTTGTCTGTCCTCTTCCTACCAAATGCTTCCCCAACTATTTTAACTAAGGAAAAATGATAGTAATCCTACCAGTCTCATGTTTTCTATGTTACAGATGCTCGCTCTCTCACAGAGCACACTCCAAGGATGCGCACTGTCATCACGTGACTGTCTTATCTCTGCATCTTTGCCATCTATTAGGTCTAATTGTGACCTATTAGACCAACTCTCCTCTGAGGCACTTAACCTTCTGCCCCTTCTACACCACCCCTTTTGACAGCTGGAAAGCGGTTAGAGTGGTCTGCACCCCCAAAATCCCTATTTAACAGAGTGACCTCTGAGAGGGGGGATTGAGGGACTAGGAGTTGGACAGATTCCATAATAGGCAGACAGATAGGGAAAGAAGCCCCAATTAGTAATAAAAATGGTTAACTTCTAAGACGGTTGGCTGAGACAAAAACCTAATGCCTTAAAACAAAGGCTTGGTAGGTTTTTCTCCTGTAAGGCCCCCTGCTGATGGACAGACTGATGAATTCAAGGCAAACCAAATGCCACAGCTGTGGGCCAATCAGTCATCCTGGCCAGATGTAGTAGCATACACCTTTAATCCCAGCACTCAGGAGGGAGAGGCAGACAGATCTATGTTCAAGGCCAGCATGGTCTATATAGTGAGTTCCAGGACAATCAGAGCTACAACGTAAGACCCTTGAAACAGGAGGGAGGGCTTTCCTAAACGGGACATAACTCTCATCTTTTGGCAAAATTTTATAAAACTCGCTCCTCCACATTTGCTCTAGGGACTTTAAGCCTACTTCACAAGGTCCCCTAATGTGCTCATAGGTCCCCCACTTCCTATGTACAACTGTGTCCATAGTTCCCTCCAACTTTACCAATGCAACAAAGTCCCAATCACCACCTTTGTACCACAAGACTATCTGAGCCACTTCATCCCAGATGGCCCTTCTGGCACTATCTGCCTAGCTGGCCTTCCCATCTTCAATCTGACTGAGTCCTCTGCTGGTTTCTAGTATTGCTGGGGATGGGGAGGAAGATTTGACTCATCTGCTCCAGGAAAATCTTTTCAAATACTCCCCTACCACCATGCTCTATTCAAGCTGAACCTGCTGTATCTGTCAGCTCCTGGAAACCCCTTCACCTTCCTGGTTTTTCCCTAATATCAATACCTTTCACCGAGCTAATGGGCCACCAAACTCATCACTCTTTTTGCTACTCTGGGCATTCCTTCAGGACTCAGTCGAGGAACAGTAGGAGTGGGGGTTTCTTTACAACAGTTAGCCTCTCTGTCTAGTCAGCTCTGAGAAAGCCTTAAAAGAAATTTTAGATTAGCCTGACACCATTAGGGATCAATTTGATTCTTTGACCAATGTCATACTCCAATATCAAAGTGAGCTAGATCTCCTGACTGCTGTCAAGGAGACAATCTGTGTCTTCCTCCAGAAACAATGCTGCTTCTATACCAACAAATGCAAGCTAGTTCAAGATGGGGGTCAAAGACGTAGGGGCCATGAAGCATGATTAATAAAAACTCGGAGACAGATATTGGGATTCAACCTCAAGATCAGAAAAACAAAGTAGTCAGCCCCTGGCTCTTACCTAGACCTCAGTCTGAAAATGGTGATCCTGTCTCCAGGACACCTCAGAATGTGACTAAGACAGAGAGCTGTCTCCTCCTGTTTTATAATCCTTTCTAGTTCTGGGATTAAGAGTGTGCACACCTACTGCCTGGTTTCTATGGCAAGCAGTGTGGTTACTGGGGTTAAAGGTGTGGGCCATTGCTGCTTGGTCTATAAGGCTGACCAGTGTGGCTATTTTCCTTTTCTGATCCTTGAGCAAGCTTTATTGATTAAAATATAAGTGAAATGCCACTACAGAACCAGGCTCAGAAAATTCAACACCAAGTTTCTTCCTCTGGATGAGTTTTTGTTGCCATCTCATCCTGGTTCGTGCCCTTACTGCCCCCCTACTTTAATCCTGTCTTTTCAACATTTTACAGACGTTCTTCCCAGATCAAAGCACTGACATCACTCAGGCCACCACACATGACAAAATAAAAATAATATTTGTTTTGGAGTCACTCCAGACCCCAAAACTCCAAAACAATACCCCTTCCACCATCAAGAGGCCACCAGACAGAAAATGACTCTCTCTATCCTTTATATGTGAAGGGTCTGGACTAAAGAAAATCCCCTCGACAAAATCATGGCCGTAAAACAGGCCCAAGTTTTCAAGAAATCTTCCCACCCCCATGAAATGTTAGCAAGCAGCAAACCCTACCACACATTCTAGAACTCGGAGGCTACAAAAGCAGACAATCTGACTTATCTCTCACCCTTTCTACAAAAAGTAGTTTCTCGGTTCAGCAAAGGCAGACAGGTTCTCCCTGCTCCCTACTCTCAACTATAAAATCAGATTCTCAAATCCCACATGGTGGGCACATTCTCCTGTTCTCAGCAGGCTCTTGGGGTGACAACCTCTTAAAATAATAAAAATTGGCTCTCACTGCTTGAGGTCAAACTGAGTCTTTAGCCTTTCTTTTCTCTCTCCTGGCTAATTTTTACCATATCTATTGCAAATACACAAGTAAAGACTTAATTTGAGCGTTGTTTATTCAAGGGAAAAAACCAGAATTTCTTTGTGGTACACTCAAGTTATCCTAAGAAAAGTATTGTCTTCCCATTCTGTAGCAATACTGGAAACAACACCGCCACAACCGCAATAACTGTGCAAACCAATAGCTCAGAAGCCATAGAAGGGGGCAAAATGTGCCTGAAGGTTTTAAGTCCCAACTCCAAAAACAAAATTCTCTATTTCTCCAATTTGACGGATCCTGAGAGCTTCACTCTCCTGACTTGAATCTAATTCTGCCTAAAAGATATTAATGACAATGTCAAAAAGAAAACACTCACAATTATTTTAAGTTGTATTAGCAGGAAGAAGCATAGCAAATTGGTTTAGTAAGAGTGTAATCAAGATATTTGGTTAAAAAATTGGAGAATAACAGAACAGAGAATGGCTTGCTCGCAGCGTCCTTTGAAAGGCCCCAAGCTATTTCTAGAAATATAGAAAGACATTTTTGCATGCAAATAGATACATGCCTTGAGATGTGTGAATGCCCAAGAGAGACTTGAGAAGTCCCTGGTCATCCAAAACGAACTAACCATACACAAGCCAAAAGAAAAGCACAAGGTAAGCAAAGGTCAAATTATAAACTGTCTGGCTGAGTGCTAAAAACATATCCCTAAACACAAATGACATGCTGAAATCAAGGTTAGGAAGTGTATTAGTTCAAATTATTTAATGAAGCTGTTATCCAAACATTAAACAGCCAGTGAACTAACCTACCATAGACTTCAGTAGGTTCATTACATAAAAAGAACACCCACTTTACAGAATGACTGTAAATCTAAAACGTCAATAAACAAGCAAACAACAAGGAACATCAATGGTAAATTGTAGGGAAGAAGCAATGATTTCATTTTAAGAACTGACATGTTTTATTATCTTGAAATACATTTGAAAGATTTTATTTCTTTATTTTTTATTTTGAGTGTATGTTTGTGTGTGCCTGCACATATGTCTATAAAACATGTGAGGTACCTGCTGGGAATAATGCATTAAATCACCTGGCACAGTAGTTATGGATGTTGTGAGGTGCCATATGGGTAACGGGAGCCAAACCCAGGAAACCCAGGTCCTGTGGAAGAGCGACAAGCGCTGTGAAAGCGCTGTGAAACACGGAGGCACCTTCTGGAGTCATTTCTCTCCCTTCTATCCTATGGGAGCTGGGGGTCACACTCAGGCTGCCTGTGCCGTTACCTGCTAAGTCATTACAAAAGTCCAATGTTCACTTCTTAATAAAACACCACGACACAGACCCAGAAAACAATAGCTCATGTTCCAAAACAGTATGTATTTAGTACAAATTGTCCCCTGAAATATACCATGAAACAAGTAACAAAATGGGAGATGGCCTCAAAACAATTTTTTAGACAAAACCATGCCTATAATTCCATTACTTGAGAGGAACTAGGAGAAAAATTAGTAATCAAGGCTAGCTTTGGTTACATAACCAGTTCAAGGACAGCCTGGGCCACGTGAAATTCAGTCTTTAAAAATGCAAACAAAATGCGGCTGGGGATATGTATGGCTCAGTGGTTAAAAGTACCTACTGCTGATTTTCACTCTCCTTCCTCTCCCTCATTGCAAATTCCCTAGTCTTACCCAGCCCTGTAACAGAACTCAGCTCTCTCTCTACCTCTACTCCCTGAGAACTGTGTAGAACCTCTCCAGGATGCAGCCTTCCTCCCTCACCCCATCTTTTTGTGTCAGCCACCAATACCTAGACGTACTTTCTACTTGGGACCTCTGTCAACACCAAAATTGGTGATTTTCTCTTCTTCCTGTACTCCATTATAAATCCCTCAGTCACATCTCCAGCACAGTAAAAGATGCTACTCCCTGGGGATTACGCCTAAACTCAAAGGAGATTGACATTTCCT